AGACCGCCGATGACGAGAACGATGCTCGCAAGAAGACCACCGAGATCGAGGAGTGGGACCAGAAGTTCATGCAGGTCGACCAGGAGATGCTCTTCGAGATCATCCTCGTATGTTGCCCGTTACTGTCACATGTCCTTGCATTAAGCTAATATTACGACAGGCTTCCAACTACCTGGACATCAAGCCTCTCCTCGACGTCGGCTGCAAGACCGTTGCCAACATGATCAAGGGCAAGTCGCCCGAGGAGATCCGCAAGACCTTCAACATTACCAACGACTTCACCCCCGAAGAGGAGGAGCAGATCCGCCGCGAGAATGAGTGGGCCGAGGACCGTTAAATATCACGACAAATGGATTGGTGGAAAAGAGCCGGAGTCTGGGTTAAACTACTCTTCGGACATTTCTCTGCGCACCTAATGTGTGATGCATCGTACTCCGGCGTTTTGACGATCGCTCATTGATTCGTTTTTCGGTTACCCTGGAAAGTTTGCGGGTTGCTCCACAGGTCAGGAATTCACGTCCCATATGGAACGGGACGCTTGGTTGATGAAAGGCGCTTAACACAAGGTCATCCATCCCATGCGCAGTAGTTATGCGTGCGTCCCAGTTGATTTTGCTACAAATTCATAGCAAGGCAAAGAAGTTTGATTTCGCGTCTAAAGTATTGACTTGTTGGTCGGTGATATTGTTGCGTTTGTCCATAAGATCCATTGGAGGTTGCGACCAAATCAGACATCGAGGTCGGCTGCCTGTATGTGCCCTGGGCGTAGGTGACTTTAATTACTTTCGAACATGACACAGCAAGGCTGACGACCAAACCTCACTTGGCTCGTCATACCATCGACAAGGGCTCGTAATTCGTCAACAGTGAGTCATTGGAGACTGGGAAGTCAGATGGCCGTGAATAACTCGGGAACCAACGTCACTATGGTGTGCTAGGGTAGACCTGCTCGAGCTTCAGATGCTGCCAGTGGCTTCTCAAAACCAGGGAAGGCATCGCGATGGCCTGATTGGAGACCACAAATGGAGGCTCGGAATCAGTACCTGCCGGTGAGGACGAGGAGGTACTCCTCGATATGCATCGCGGTCCTTCGAGGTGTCGCATCACAACATGTACTGAGCGAACGAGAATGGTGAATCGTGGGGGCCTCATCTCTTCAGAGGCAAATTTTGCATTTCCTTTCCCTATGACCGTAACATGCAATACGTAGAGTCTAGCCGAACCGGGCATCCATTTTGTTTCCCCTCCATTCCTGTTTGTCAAAAAAGACTTCCCCCACGAATTCAGGACTCGAGCCAGTGGGTATTTGAGTCCATCAGAGTTGAACCCCTCCCCATTTGATGTGAAAGGTTTGCTTCCCCCAAGTCGAGCGCGGCGTCGTCGTTCGGTCGGCGGTATCCATGGTTTTGATATGGAAGTCCCGCAGGATAGGGTAAGGGATTTTCTTGAAGAGAGAAGGAGGCGAGGCGTTTAGATGCCGAGGCGGGTCTTGCGCCAGTGACGACGCTTCGCGTTGTAGCTGTGATGGAGATGTTAGTTTTGTGATGTTTGGTGGGGTGTGTTTTCTGCCATGTGAAAGACTCCCTTCGCGTTCTGATCCGTTTCGAGATCGAGACAAAAAGAGGAGAGGCTTCCTGGGGGAAACAGAGGGAGGGTGTATCGTACCGAATAGTGTTACCGGTGCGAAGGCGAATCCATTGGGGAATGGGGCGGTTCTGCTTCTGCGCCTTGGCGAGCTTCTGCTTCGTGCGGAAAGACTTGTGGCTCTGTATCGCGGGGGATCTTGTCAGCATTCTGCTTGTTTGTATTAGATTTCCTCGTCTTCCTCTCGTTCGCCTTCCTCGATTGTGTTGATGATGTTTGCCCCTCACTCCCCCGTCGTGAACCCCGTCCACAGGTGACGCATTTTGTCGTATCGCGTGGACGCAATATGTCGGTAGATTCGGTCGAGGGGAAACATCATCATCGCGTCGAAGAGGGCCGTTTGAACGAGAGGGCGAGCGAAGGGGCGTAATCTATCAACGTACCGGCATTTTGACGGCTTGTTGGCTGATCAAACTGGTGCGAGTCCTTTGGGGTGGCAGTTGTTCTCCAGATGGGATGGGTTGAATCGATCTCACCACTAGAAATGAGAAATTCTTGTGCACAAGGCGCACTAGGTTAGCGAGCCCGCAGTCGCCTTGATTGGTGGACAGGGCACAAGGTGGAGTCGGTCACGCTTTCGGAGCCTGGTGGGGGGAGAGGGGAGGCATGAGAAGGTCACTCGCCTCTTGAGGCTCAGCTGTGTGGCTCGCTCCTGCTTGGTTTTTTTCTTCTTTTTTCGGTCAGGTGCTGATTAGATAAGACAAAGAACCAAAGTGCCTCAGGCATCAGAGTTCAGAGTCTGCTTATGTGATAATCCCTGACATACCGATAGGCTCGAGCGGCCGACGATCCCAGCATTGGCAGCCCGCGGACCCGTTTGGACGCCCAGGTTTCCCATCCATGCATGTCTTAAAAAACTGTCAATTAGGGGGGACCCGTTCCGCTACCTTACCTTTACTGGTACGCCTTAGGGGGGGAAAGTCAAGCCATCCGAGATTCTTTTGCAACGGCCCTTTGTCTGCTACTCGTAAAGACAAGAAAGACAGCTCGACGAAACGAAACCCACGACGAATCAAGCCAAACTCCTGGAAACAGTGAAGAAGGGGAGAGACTAGATACTTCTTATTTTTTGCCCCTGAACGCCACGGAACATTTGTCGCCCTTTTCCCTCACACCCCTTTCGTGCTCTCCTATTCTTCACCAACGGGTAAAGGCCCTGCGTTTGTACATAATTCCAGCAAAGCGGGCGGAGCTTTTTCTTTGGTCAGCTTTCGTCATTCTACTTTTGCTGCTGCTGCTGCTGCTCGCCCCTTGGGAAACAAGCCACCTTTTGCTACCACCACCAACCTTACCTTACCTACCTTAAACCTCCGCGACCATCCTGTCCCGAGGCCAACCGCGTATATTGTGACAGAACCCAAGTCGCAACTCAACCCCCGAACCCGCACACGGCCTTTTGCATCCCTACGAAAGCTCCGAGTTTACACCACGACCACACCTCATCCCACACCGAGTTCCTGTCGAGAATCAACAAACCATCTTTCAAAATGGGCGCAAGCATGTCATGGCTGTCGGGCCTCGTGTGGTCGAAGAAGGAGATTCGCATCCTGATCTTGGGACTGGTACGCATATCCTCCCGCTCAGCTTTCCCCCCGTGATGCGTCCGAAACGTGGAGACGCAAGGCTGACAAACCACCGTTTTCTACAGGATAACGCTGGCAAGACGACACTTTTGTACAGACTGAAGGTGAGTTCTGCGGCAGACTTCCCTCTCCGCCGTCACTTAAGGTGTGCATCTCGTAAAGTACCTTGGACTAACCTTTTTCTGAACTTTCCAGATCGGTGAGGTTGTCACCACGATCCCGACGATAGGATTCAACGTCGAGTCCGTCACATACAAAAACCTCAATTTCAACGTTTGGGTATGCCGCCATTCTCCGATGCACCCTTCTCTGCAACACCACACGCAAGCGAGAGAGACAGAAGAAGAGAGAGAAGAAGACTGACAGCAGCCATGCGCGACCACGACTATAGGATCTAGGTGGTCAAACCAGCATTCGCCCCTACTGGCGGTGTTACTACGCCAACACGGCGGCCGTCATCTTCGTCGTCGACTCGACCGATATCGAGCGTCTGCAGACTGCGGCCGAGGAGCTGGGCGCCATGCTCAACGAGGAGGAGCTCAAGGACGCTTCGCTCCTCGTCTTTGCCAACAAGCAGGACCAGCCCGGCGCCAAGGGCGCGGGCGAGATTTCGGAGGCGCTGCGCCTGGGCGAGCTGCGCGATCGGAACTGGAGCATCATGGCCTGCTCCGCGGTCGACGGCAGCGGTGTCACGGAGGGCATGGACTGGCTTGTCGTACGTGCATACCCTACCAGATCTACTCCTTGAGATCCATTTGGGGAGAAACTTTGAGTTGGGACACGAATGCTGACCTCTTATACTAGCAAACCGTCAACCAGGAGTCATAAATACGGAGCCTATGGCTTCGCTGACCCTTACACGATCAACCTCTCAAAAACAACCACTTATATATAACGCCCCTCACGATTTATAATACGGCCCATCAGTTGGGTAGAGCTGCGCATCGATGTGTGTTTGTCGACGTCTTTTTTGTTTTGGTGAGAGAGAGGGCATTCGCAAGATCCCCCGTCAACCCTCGGCGTACTGCGGGACCGGCGTTTCAGCATTGGGTAGTGCCGGACTGTAGACTGAGTACTGGAAACAGTTAGTCTGCGGTTTTTGCTGCCGCGCGCATCTACGAATATCTGGACAACGGGGTCTTTTCGAAATGCGGATGAGTGAACGCGCGTGTTGCGCATACAACGTTTTATGAGGCGACCAGAGGGCCCAAATGGGAGGGGCGGGGGAGAGAGACACACACACAGAAGACAGAGGAAGAGATGAAAGAGAAAGGAAACTCGAGTTGATTCGTCCATTTTATCAGTTTACACGCTTCTAATGCCAGCACGGGGACGTCGTACCGCGTCCCTGGTTTCTGTTCTGACACCTCCTTTGGTCGCCCGTGTGATGGCTAACCCCTTTCTCAGAGTTCTCGCATAAGGAAGGTGGCGGGATTTGGATAGAAACGGGCTCTTGAGTGAGCCTTTAATCATTCTGACATAGTTTTCGAGCTTTTCCAGGACGATGGGAAGTCACAGCTCTCATAAAGCACGAAAAGTACACAACGGCCAGTTTGATTGGAAGCTAACCTGGATCTAGAAACTCTGCCCATTCAGACCAGCATCATCACAAAACCGACCGCGACACCGATCGACGTGAGAACCGCCCACGACTGACCCATCGCCGCCGGCCCGGATCCCCTAGCGGCACCCGGGACGGGAGTGGCCGAGGTCAGCTCGGTGGGACACGCCGACACTGTCGTTGTTACCTTTTCCCGTTGCTGCCTCTGTACGATGGGCGGGATCTGGAAGACGCACGTCGGAAGCTGGGTGCCGGTCGTCGTCGTCGTCGCCGCTGCCGTCAGACTCGGTCTCGTCACGCTCTCTGTGGCCGTAGCGAGGGAGTCGTCGCTTGTTGTAGGGGCAGAGGAGGAGGAAGAGGAAGAGGAAGAGGCTCGTTTCGGTGGGTGGAAGCAGCCGGCGGCTTCGCTTTTGCCGCACGTATCGCCCTTTTGGCACCACCAGGTCTTGGAGGAGCCGTGGCAGCAGACGCCGTCGGGCGGCATGCAGCCTTCCCAGCAGGGGATCGTGGACCCGGGGCAGACTGTGCCGTCGTCGATGGGTGGTTGGGATGGAGAAGGGGTGGGTGTTGACTGGGAGGTTGCCGCTGCGGTGAAGGCGAGGAAGAGGAGGAGGATGGATGTAGAGCTTGGGAGGAGCATTTTGGTGAAGTTGTCTGGCGCGTTCTTGGGAATATCAGGAGGATCTTCGGATGGTGTGAAAGTTTGGGTGATCGAGATGCGTTCTTATGAGCTTCTCACCGACGGCAAGATTGGCGAGGCTTCCTCTTTATACGGTCTCGAAGGCGGCACGCTGTATACCAAGTAGTGAATCACATCACCCGAGTTGGCTGGCAGGTGATGATTCACAACTTACGCCTTGTCACTCAACCCCTCATGACGGTGATTCTCCATCACGAGAGACAACTCGTGTTTGCTTTCCTGAGCTGCGCATGCCTCTCTTACCTCATATCTCTTGCCTCATGGCGGACATATTTAGATCTTTGGGTGCGGGTGTGACACAGTTGGAGAGTTTGCCTCGCTTGCCGTGCTCCCGGCTCAGTTCCCCGGTTCAAGCTGGCCATGTCGTCCAAGGTCCTGCGTGTAGACTGTTGACGAGGCATCACAGCTTGGGGCACAGCTTTGATGGCTTTGATTCCGGGTGCATTCCTTCCACATGACAAAGAGAAAACTCCGGTCTCGACGGTGAGGTTGTGTCGAAATTGCTACAACATCAGGGCCTCCTCCTGTTCTGAAGGAACGTTGAGATGTTTGTTCAGGCTCTCAATCGCTTGGCCGTGTTTAAACGAGTGTTCATCAAAAGATGGTCAGATGCGATTTGTTTATATGTGTAATGTAGCCAAGATTGAGTGAGGCCTTTTCCAGGATGATGGAGGTCGGTTGGCTTTTCGCGTTCTCATTAATTACTACTATACTTGCCCATAGGGTTGGCTTTTCTGAGCAGAGTCCCCCAATGAGGCCGTGACTATTCGTTGGCCTTTTCATACAGAGCCGTTTTCTGACGGTTATCGTTCATGGCGAGATCGATATAGGGAACAGAATTGTCGGGCGAGAACGCGTAAAGAGGCTTCGACGTAGATCATTTACAGTACCCATTAGGTAACTAGCCGTAGCTTCTGATGACATTGAACGACGTGATACTGGGGTTTGACATACGAATATGTCACTTGCGAGCTAAATTAAGCACTAGCCAATGATATGATGTTTGTCGCTCATTTTTACGGTCCTTTTGCACCCTGACACCGCATCGAGTGCGCTCGGAACGGCTTCGGAACACGTTCCGCAGTGACAACATTCTCTCTCGAGTCTTGCTCAAGAGGAACTGCGTTTTGCTTGTCTCCGTGTTACTCTGAGGTGAATTGAAGAAAAACTCGAGGCCTTTTCTCGCGTGAGTGGAGCACATCCCGGAACGTGCCTCCTCCCGAGTCCTTATTATCGGCTCATTCCGATAGCGCCATACTCCTGTTCGCTACCATTTACGCAATGCGACGCTTCCCATTCATCAACTTGTGGCCAAAACTATTCAAGTGACTGGGTTAGTGCAAGCCTGTTACGCAGATGGTAAACATGCTTTCCCAGTGCTCAAATGCGGAAAGCCGGACGCCTCCGGGCTATCGCCGAGATGCGAGGTCTGGCATCTCGGCGTTCTCGGCGCTTGAGAAATGCAGAACCCACGGCGGCGGCCCCCGGAAACGCTACCGACGGCGAACGGTTCACTACCCGAGCCAACGTGCCAGCCTGCCACTGCCGCCAGGAACGCGCGCTGAAGCCATGTGACAGCGCGAGACACCAGATTGACCCGGGCCTCGGCCATGGATGCCGTTGGTGAGGCGCAGAACCACTGTACCACAGCCTCTGTAGATCTGGTAACGCGACTTTCCAGTGGCATATGTACATACCTATAACAGACCTCGATCCTGCGATCTCGGCGACAAACCCAACTCTTGTGTTCGCTCCACTTGGAGGAGACCAGGGGAATGCCACCGCGAATGGGCTTCCGCCGGCATGGACTGCCTTTCTGGCCCCGACCAATGATGTCATTTCAGTTCAGCCGTGTTTCCTGAATTGGGAAATTTTCCATTCTCCCGATTTGGGCAACACACACGAGGTGAGTAGAGAGCGGGTCTGGGACCGGTGAAGCGGCGTCACTGAGCCGTGTTGTGGTGTAGTGGCTGATGCTCAACTTTCGAACCCCGAGGCCGGGCTCTGAGAGTTCTCAGAGTTTGGTGCTAGACGTTCATCCAAATCCCGACGGGTACCGGACACCCTTCGGATTCCGGCAGGCTTGCTCAGAGATGAAGTCCAGCTACGGGTACTTGGGAGTGAAGAGCATGGCAGACCTGTCTGAATAAGTAGGAAATAGCATGAACGAGCTTCCGAGGGGCGCAACCCTCGGTGTTTTCTCAAAGCGATCAAAGGCTAGCCTAGCCGTTGAAGTGCATGTAAGTGGCCCGATGGACGCCGTCTTCACCCAGCATATCCCATGCCAGGCCCCATCCTTTTTGCTTGTCAGCGAGTTTTCTCCGCATCGCAGAAAGGCTGGAATCTGAGATATCCCCCCTCGATGCCGACATTGACGGAATCTAAAGAGTCCCCCGCAACATCTGGGGAGGTAGAGCAAGAGACTGGGTCATGACTGATGTATCCCGGCAAAAGAGACCAGCTGGGCAGTGGTGGTGGAACCCCCGCCGTTGTCGGAGGGGCCAGGAGAGACAATGGACCAATCCGAGCGGCGGAAAACACGAGTTGAACCTGAGAAAGTTGGCGGTGGTCAGTGTCGGAATGTCGAGTCCACGATAACGCTATTGAAGGTTGAAGGTGTCCAACAACGTTGCGCTACCCAAGTAGTTGTTACAAAAGAGCCTCAAACTAAGGGTCCAGAATTGGAGTTGCCTCTAGAGCAACACTAGAAACAGCAGATCTACCACTCAAAAAGCAGCAGCAAGATTGATCGTTTTGGACCTTTGCACCACCTCAGCAACGAGAGGTGGAGAAAACAAGGGGTGACTGAAGGACGCTAGGAAACCTCAAAATGGAGCTTCTCTGTGGACCTCGGCCAACCCAAGCTTGCATTCGTCTGCCTTCCAATTGGCCGTGTGTCCCACCAAAGCTTCAGAAATCATCGAGGAAAGCCACCCTTGCCCGGGCGACTTACGTCGTGTCCTGGGGTTTCTGCTTCGTAACTTGAACGCCCTGAGTGGGAGGACAGAGCTCATGGGGCTCCAGAAGCCGAGGAAACTGGGGCAAGCAGGAGGAAGAGGGAGAGAAAGAGAGAGAGAAGGAGAGGGAGGGGCCGAGGTGTAAGGAGGGTCCCCTCCCACTTATGTTATCGTCCTATTTCTTTTCTCTCTGTCATGGAGCTTTAGATTATTTATGTTTTCGTCTTCCCTCCATTGGATCGCCCCCCCGGAGACCCTCTTTGATCTGTTCTTTTCTTGATCAGATTTATCATCTGCCGCTGCCGTTTGTTGGTGTCCGACATTAGCAAGCATCCCGCGCCATTTCCCCCGAAGCGCAAAACATATCTCCCATCTCCGAATCGACAAGAAGCGAGAAACCGCTGACAAGATGGGTTCCGAGGACGAGAAGCCTTCTACCTACCGGTATAACGAGAAGCCGACTTACACCACCTCCAATGGCGCCCCCGTCGAGAACCCCCAGGCGTGGCAGCGCATCGGTCCCCAGGGCCCTCTGCTGCTCCAGGACTTCCACCTGATTGACCTACTGGCCCACTTCGATCGCGAGCGCATTCCCGAGCGTGTCGTCCACGCCAAGGGCGCCGGTGCTTACGGCGAGGTTCGTGAGACGGTTCTTTTTGGTTGTGTTATGTCGGAACGGGCGTGAAGCTTGGTGAATTTTGAGAGAAATATGCTGACCAGCGTTCGCGCGCACGGCTTTACAGTTCGAGGTCACCCATGACATTAGCGATATCTCTTCCATCGACATGCTCAACCAGGTCGGCAAGAAGACCAAGGCGCTTGTCCGTTTCTCGACTGTCGGTGGTGAGAAGGGCTCTGCCGATTCGGCTCGTGATCCCAGAGGTTTCTCTGTCAAGTTCTACACCGAGGAGGGAAACTGGGACTGGGTTTACAACAACACGCCCATTTTTTTCATCCGCGACCCTGTCAAGTTCCCTCCCTTCATTCACACCCAGAAGCGTCACCCGCAGACTAACCTGAAGGATGCTACAATGGTAAGTGTTGAAACCCCCAGAATTCTCATGAGATGACTTGAGCTAACTTGAACCAGATGGTAAGCGTTAAGATGCAGCAACTCATCACAAATCGCACACTAACTCAATCTCCCAGTTTGACTACTGGACCAAGAACCAAGAGTGCATCCACCAGCTGATGCACCTGTTCTCCGACCGCGGCACCCCTTACTCTTACAGACACATGAACGGCTACTCGGGCCACACCCACAAGTGGACCAAGCCCGACGGCTCCTTCGTCTACGTCCAGATCCACCTCAAGACGGACCAGGGCAACAAGACCTTCACCAACGAGGAGGCCGGCAAGATGGCGTCCGAGAACCCGGACTGGCACACCCAGGATCTCTTCGAGGCCATCCAGCGCGGCGAGCACCCCAGCTGGACCGTCTACGTTCAGACCCTGACCCCGGAGCAGGCCGAAAAGTTCAAGTGGAACGTGTTTGACCTGACCAAGGTCTGGCCGCAGAGCGAGGTGCCGCTGCGCCAGTTTGGCAAGCTCACCCTCAACCAGAACCCCGAGAACTACTTTGCCGAGATCGAGCAGGCCGCCTTCTCCCCCTCCCACCTGGTCCCCGGCGTCGAGCCCACCGCCGACCCCGTCCTGCAGTCCCGCCTCTTCTCCTACCCGGACACCCACCGCCACCGTCTCGGCGTGAACTACCAGCAGATCCCCGTCAACAAGCCCCTGAATGCCTTCAACCCCCTCCAGAGAGACGGCGCCATGGCTGTCAACGGCAACTACGGCGCGAACCCCGTACGTCACCCCTCAAGTCCCGATCTACGTACTATATGCATGGTGAGAATGACCGAGCTAACTCTTCCCAGAACTACTCCTCAACCTTCCGCCCTCTCGAGTACAAGCCCGTCAAGGCCGTCAACACCCCGCACGAGCAGTGGGCCGGCGCCGTCGTCACGGACCTCTTCGGCCCCGTCAAGCCCGAGGACTACGAGCAGGCCCTCGGCCTCTGGAAGGTCCTCGGCCGCCAGGAGGGCCAGCAGAAGAACTTTGTCAGCAACGTGTCTGGCGCCCTCGCCGGCGCTCACCCCGAGGTCCGCTCGCGCGCGTACGAGATGTTCTCGCGGGTTACCCCCGAGCTCGGCGCCGCTATCATGAAGGAGACGGAGAAGATTGCCGAGTATGTTGATTTCTTCTTTCGTTCCCGGGGACTGAAAAGCCTTGATGATGACCTGTGAATGAGTATACTGACTTTTTCTTTTCTCCTAGGCCTACCAAGGATGTTCGCTCCAAGTTGTAAAAACATAGATGGAATGGTGGATGAGAAACACCCAGATTCGCGCTGAAGAACGGCGCTCCGAGGTCTCGATGTAGTGCCGGAGCCGCGGGCGTCGACGTTGCACGAGGCGCCCAGAATCAGTTCGAGGGGAGAAGAATAAGAGACTGTCGAGATACCATATCAGGACAATACTGACGAGACAGATAGCTCAGAGCATCTAAAACAAGGAGGGAAAAAAAATCATAATTTGTTCAAAAATCAGTTGAAAATCGTACAAAAAAGTGACACTGTCACGGGCATGAAATTCGATGCCCTGGTATATGTTTGCGCCTGAAACCACCGCCTATTCAATCACTCATCCGCTACGAGCCACCCATTTGATATCGAACTCTCGCTCGCGAATTCCTCAGTCTCCTTCTCTCACGGATCCCCAATGAGAGTAGTCTTGATCTTGGTCGGTCTACGATACACCCTCCATCTCGAAACGATATTCGGTCTATACAGAAAGTAACGTCCACTGCGTTGACCATCTTCCGGGTGTGTCTCGAGGGAAACGACACCCAAAAGTGCCTTCGGCGTGTGACGTTGCGATACGACTTAACAGCAGCAGCAGCAGCACTCGCAGCATTCGTAGCAACAGAGGCCGGCGCAGAGACCGCAGCAGACAGCCTACCGAGAAGAGCGTAACACGTTAGCCAATCATGTGCTTTTGAGCGTGTGGTTGAAAAGGAAAAGAATCCCAATCGCGTTTTCCAGCGCTCTATTTCTGATTTCTCGAGTTCTACCAAAATCCACAGACGGCGTAGGAATATCGAAGAAGGAGAGGGATTGGGTCGGCTTTTTTTCAACTTACTCCGCCATCGCCGCCACCTCGCAGGTTCGCTGATTGATCCATCGTCATCGGCTGATTGGGGCTCTAGTAGGATTCAAGGTCTCCGGTTAGCTCGGGTTTCGGGAGAGGTCTCGTTCCTTTTGCGAGGTCTGGCTGATTCGAATCGATGCGACACCGACAATCACCAGAGAAGAGGGGAAAACCAAAACCGACATGGTAAGTATGGAGATGGCTGAAGGGAGCGAACATACAGGTTGCTGAGAGCTAATCTTGTGTTCCGAGAGCACGGCTGGCGCAGGCTCTCTTGGCATCTGATTGTACTCGATCTGGGACGACATTGCTTCTGCGCGCGCGCGTGTGCGATTAAGGATTACAAAGGCGGAAATGTCGTGTGTACGTATTCGACCGATAGGATTTGCAAAATCCTGGCGCGAGGTCTATCCAAAGAAAAAATCTCGTTTGACTCGTCCGTGGGTGACAGGAAACGAAGGTCTTGTTGTGTGTGTGTGTCTAAGTCGAGTTGACGTTGCCTTGTAGGTGTGTGCAAGAGACAGAAACAAATCGCACCTGGGGCCCCAAGTCACAGCCAACGCGCAAAACAGGCGATTGGCCGTTTTATTTGAAAAGAGAACCGACAGAAAGAAAAAGCGACAGGGCACGAGGAAGAAAGTTATCTGGGAACCCGAAGTTTGAGAGGGTGCGTGGCCCACGGTTTTGTCCGGGGGCCACCCCTTCACTTCGGGCTCTCTCTTCCTGCATGATGAAGAAAGGCAGACTTTGGAGGTTGAGGCCACAGCTTGGCGCTCAGGTGCAGGGCAAAGGCAGCAGGGGCGAAGGGGGAGAAGGGACCAGATTGACGACCGTGGGCTGGCAGGCCTTGGTGTCTCTTCCCTCTCCTTCTAGTCTCTTTCTACATGGTCACATAGTAATAGTCTCTACTCTTCAAGTACATACCTTGCCTTGTCTACCTTATGTCCCCGCAGGTTGAGTTTCTGCGTGGATGTATGTAGACGAGGGAGGGGGGGCCCCTCTGTACATACGACACCCGGTGTGTAAGAGTCATCTCGAACCGGCACATTGAGTGCGAGGGAGGTCGAGGACAGTTACAAGGATGGATGAGGCTTAGATCAGGCGGTCCCTCCATCTTGAGAGGGGCTCATGGATGGGGACACCTTCGTTCGGTGTGTTTGGGGGGGTGTTTTTTTCTTTTCATTTCAAGTGAAGGAAGGGTTCAGCTGCCGACCGATCTACGGGATACGTCTGTTCTGCTTCACTTGTTCTCTCTTTCTCGCCTTCATTCGTGGGTTTGAGTGTGTGTTCGCTGGCAGCGTGATGTGAACTCGGGGTATCCTTTCCTGCAGACAGCGCTGAGACAGAGCTCGCGCCTGACCTTTTGGCTGTGCTGCGCAACTGCGGTTGAAAGGGTGTTGGGGTGTCCCGGGGAGGGGATCCTGGGATGGGGCCAAACGGGGGGTGGAATGACCTCAGTTTGGGGAACGAGATAATCTTCAAAGGGGATTGGAGGGAGGGGAAAGGGCTACCGAATGCGGCTTGCGTTGTTGGTAATGGAGAAGAAAAGTGGTTGAGGCGTCGTCGCACGGTGAAGTGGTATTAGGCAGGCAAGAAAATGGGAAACTCTCTTTTGCTGACCTTGCATTTCGCGTTTGCGTTGCCTGCGAGTTGGGATGATCTATTCGGTGTCAAGTCGTCGTCGTCGTCGTCCTTTGGTTGAGAGTCTACGCAATGCGATGTGCGGGTACTGTTATTTTTCTGCTATGGATCCAAGTCCGTTCACCAACTAGTGCAAGGCTTACTAGTCTTTCGCATTTCCCTTCTTATTTCCTTTGATTTTTTCCCTTCCTCATATCCAGAGGCTGCTGCGCTGGCACACCGGGCTTCGGTGACATGCCACCTTGCCTAGATACCTAGATATGAAAAGATCCCGGAGGACCCGATCGCGCGGGATCGCACAACGCTGACTCGTTCGCCAGTTGATGGGGGGAGTTGCGGGAAGGAGTGACGACTGCCATAGCCCGCGCGCCGAACCCGAGCGCGATCTGACGTGGTATCCGTATGTGCGGGTTGGTTTGCTATTACTTTAGATAATGCAGGGTTACAGGGTTCATGGACTATTTTCGGGCCTCAGAAATATATACGCGGGAACCATGATCCCCCCTCCCTCAGGCTCTTCCCCTTCCGCCCAATCAGCCTCGGCTCGAGCGGTTTCGTGTTCTACCTGTCACTTCAGAGGCTCAGACGAATAAAACGATTCAGGGAAGACATTCTGCTTCTGGCGTCGTAGCGAAGGATGTTTTGGGAACATTCTTGCCGCCGCCGAGAGAAAAACGCGGGCAAGGGGATCATATACCGGGATTTAGGTGGAAGCCTAGAAAGGGTTTGGTGGGATCTTGTGTCCCCAATTCGAAACGGTGACACTTTCGATGGAGAGTTCAATGGGAAGGTTGCGAGGCGTAGCGTGCAGTACGTCTGAGGGTTGGACTGAAGATGCAGCTTGTTTGGATGTTCACTGCCTGCTTGACCTCTCACGGCGAGCCTAGGGGCTGTGTGACCGTACCTTATACCCGTATCAGGTACGAAAAAGGAGTTGCGGCGGTGGAGTCCCCGTACGCAGTTTCCTTCCATAGCTGGGATTCATCGGCCTGGTTTGCCGATAAATCTCTTTGGTCTGCGGTGAAGAGTACGCATATCTTTGCCGAGATATGCAGGGGATCGGGCAGACTTTGTTGAGGGGCATGCTACGCAAGGCTGACTGCAGAGTTCCCGACCATCGGAGCTTGAAGCGGGCAGAACGGGGGCATGTCGAAGTGACGGCCGGCGCTCGACGGGTTCGGAGCCGGTGCCGGTCAGCGGATCTCACGGCGCCGGTGTGCCCGAAAACCGAAGGAGACGGGAGTGTCTCGGAAGGAAGCAAATCGCCAGATGGAACCTGAGGTGCCGCTGACATTGCAGGCTAAAAGATCTCCCGGGCCAGCGCTCGTGTATCATCATTCTAACGGCAGCACCTCGAGAATACTTCCTAAATCAGTGAGATCAGTAATCATTTAGCAAAAATTGACAACCCCCCTTGTCTCGAAGAACAAGAGCTGTCGGGTGAATAAGCATAGGGAGATTGCGAGTAGTCGGCAGATCGAGCAGTGACGATCAACTCAACCATTGTAATTCAAATATTTGTGCATACAGCTCATAGCTCAAGCCTACAATAAAGACCCTAATTCTCTGTCGCGGATCGGCGTACGCCTTCTAGAACCAACATTAGTAGATTTAGCCCAGCCGCCCGTCATCCCTTGTCAGCGAGTCAATCGGAGGGCGTAGAGTGGATTCCCCGCCGAGACGACCTTAGTCTCCCCGCCCCGCCCCCGGCCGATCAATGACTTCAAGTTTAAAAGGTGCCGGTAGTAAGCTTTACTCCCAACAGCCAACTACGTCTCTTTTCTCATTTCTGTAGCTGGTGAATTGAGAACGAGACTACCCGGAAGCATCAATTCCTTGTTTTATGAGATACGTGGTATAGTAAAAAGTCGCGACCATGTCTACCTCGCAAACGGAGCTCCAGTACCTCACCCCGCACACCGGGGCCACGGTCCCGATCCCGGAATCCTCAAAAGCGGCAGTCTCGACGACGCGCGACCGATACACCACCGCCGCAACAGAGTCCGGCACCAGCAGAAGAAGCAGCGGCGACGAGAACGGCGTCGCCGCCGATGGTGTCCTCCACGACGCCCACAGCGCGAGCCAGGAGTTCTCCTCCCTCCCGCCCGTCGACGGCGGAAAGCAGGCCTGGCTCTTCTTGGCTGCTTGCTTCGCCGTCGAGATGCTCGTCTGGGGGTTTCCCTTTGCCTTTGGCGTCTTTCAGAATTACTACTCCACGAACCCGCCGTTCGCTGGGCAGCCTAACATTGCCGTCATCGGTACCTGCGCCATGGTAACCCCCTTCCCCCTTTCACTCACTCTTCTTGCTGACACCCTCCCTTTCTCCTCTCGAAATCTCGAGCAAGGAGCCACAACCCGGACCAAACTGACATCTTGACAAAGGGAATAATGTACCTAGGCGGACCCATCCAAACCGCCCTCCTCCGCCTCTACCCCCGCCAAACCCGCTACGCCCCCATCGCAGGCCTCCTCATCATGTGCATTGCCCTCGCAACCTCCTCCTTCTCCACCACGGTACCCCACCTCATCGTAACCCAGGGCATCCTCTACGCCATCGGCGGCGGCATCACGTACATGCCCTGCATAGTCTACATCGACCAGTGGTTCGTCCGCCGCAAGGGCTTCGCCTACGGCATAATGTGGTCCGGCACCGGCCTCGCCGGCGTCTTACTCCCCTTGCTAATGGAATACCTCCTCGGCACCCTCGGTTTCCGCACCACCCTCCGCCTCTGGTCCGGGTTACTCTTCGCCCTCACCACGCCGCTGGCCTTCTTCATCAAGCCGCGCGTGCCGGTGTCTACGACGACGGCGACGACGACATCGTCAGCGGACGCAACGCACGCGCGCCCGTTCAACAACATGCGCTTCCTCCTCTCCCGCCCCTTCCTCCTACACCAGGCCGCAAACACAATCGAGGCCCTGGGCTTCTTCCTACCGGGGATCTACCTCCCCTCCTACGCCCAATCCACGCTCGGCGCGTCCCCCTACGCGTCGGCCCTCACCATCCTCCTCATCAACGTCGCCTCCGTCGTCGGCTGCGTGGCGATGGGGACCCTGGTCGACCGCTGGTCCGCGCCGTCGTGCCTGGCCCTCGCCAGCGCCGGCGCCACCGTCGGGACTTTCTTGCTGTGGGGCCTTTCGCTGAACTTGGGGGTGCTGTACCTCTTCTGCGTCGTGTACGGCCTCTTTGCGGGCGCGTACACGTCCGCCTGGCCGGGGATCATGAAGACGGTGACGGAGCACGAGAGGGAGCGCGGGAGGGGCGTCGATCCGATCATGGTGTTTGGCATGTTGGCGGCCGGGCGCGGGGTCGGGAATGTGATTTCGGGACCGTTGAGCGGGGTGTTGGTGCAGGGGAAGCCGTGGGCTGGGGAGGCTGGGTTTGGGTACGGGAGCGGGTACGGGACGTTGATTGTGTTTACGGGGGTCACGGCCTTCGTGGGGGGTGCTACGTTTGTGTGTAAGAGGCTTGGGTGGTTGTGAGATGGTCGTCGCCGAGGTTGGAAGAATCAAGGAGTTGGATAGAGGATGATGGATCCAACGTTTGTGTTTGTTGGTAGCAAATGGTGTCTTCAGCTTGCAAAATGAAGAGGCCACCGTGAAAGGTGAAAGGTGAAAGGAATGACTTGTAGATCTAGCCTTGTTGCGATCTCGCATGCGATTCCCA